CTTGAGCCCCCCCGCTGAGTTGGGAGAGTCCTTGGGGCCCCTTGGAGGCGTCTTGGGGGCTTCCCTGGCACAAGCGCATCCGCGTGCAGACAGCGGCGAGCGGGCAGCGTGCCACAGAAGTTGCCATCAGCTCCGTGGAGAGGCCAGGGGCGCCTTCGCAGCCGAACAGCAGGGCCATGCCCACGTCCTTGCGTGCGTCTTCGCAGCAGGGCCCTGCCCAGCTGCCTACCGACGCCTTCTGCTGTCCACCCAGGAAAGATTGCAATGGCCTCCGGCCAGAGTGCCGCCGATCCGTGGGGCACCATATTCGGGGATCTTCGCGGCTCTGTGGCCTCCGCCGTCCTCGATTCTTCCAGTCCTCTTTCTTTCTTCTCTGGGTGGGATTCCTGGAGCTGTCCTGGGGGGGGGTCCGCCGGGGAGGGTTCCGAGTGCGGGGTTCTGGAAGCGGTAGCGGCTAGATCTGAGGGGGGTCCTTGGGAGCCCCCGAAACATCTTGGGATCTTGGGGATGCGCGAGTCATTGAGAAAACGCCGGATGGGGGACCGCTCCCCACCCCCCCCCCTCCTCCCCTTCCCCGGGGGGGTCCGAATTGGCAAATCATGAAGAGAACGCCCGATGGGGGCACCTCCCCCCCTCCCCTTCCCCCCCTTCCCCGGCAGAGCCACCCCGGCGACCCCCCCCAAGCAGAGCAGGAGCTCTTGCTTCGGTTCAGAGCTGAAGTTCTTGCTGAGGCTCCTTGTGGCTCACACGCCGGATCGGCGGATGTAGAGTTCAGGGGTTAGTGCGATTGTTCCCCGACGCCGGCCTACACGGCTTCGGGGGAAATCTTCTCAAATGATTCCGTCTCTTTGGTTCTGGGTTGTCGAGGGCGAATTTGGGGGGGCAGCAGTTTTGCGGCCAAGCGTTCGGCGTGCCCAAACGGCCGAACACTTGGGGGAGGATGTAGGGGTGATCAGGAGAGCGAGGTGGAGGAGGGGGAGGAGGAGGAGGAGGAGGAGGAGGAGGAGGAGGAGGAGGAGGAGGAGGAGGAGGAGGAGGAGGAGCCTCTTGGAAGCCTTTTGTGGGCCTCCTTATACTTTTTGGGGGCCTTTGGGGGGCGACTCTTCGGGCTCTTAGGCCGTCTTAACCGAACACCCCAGATAATTTATCATACCCCTCCCTCCTCCCTGACAGCTTATAATCCCCGGCAAATGCAGGTTTGATCGGAGGAAAGGAGTGGGAAGGTGGGACTTCTTTATCGCGGGGGGAAGTTGCGAATCGAAGTTGTTATCTCCTTTTGCTCACGATCAATATCATCAAACACGTGTGGCTGGGATTATCACCATCTCAGTTTTCGCAAGGTGCGAATGTGTGGCAGGGTTTTGGGACTCTCACCATTTCGGCTTCCCTGGATCACGAACGTGTGGCAGGGCCATCGCGTTCTCACCCACTGCAGTTTTCCCAAGTCACGAACGTGGGTCTCTTGGCCGGGGTGCCAGTTAAGTCAGAAGTTTTCATGTTGATTTAAGTTACGTCAGGAGTTATCATGTTGGCTCGGAAACGAATGCTCTCCGAGGTGGAGGAGGGGGAGGAGGAGGAGGAGGAGGAGGAGGAGGAGGAGGACGAGGAGGAGGAGGAGGAGGAGCCTCTTGGAAGCCTTTTGTGGGCCTCCTTATACTTTTTGGGGGCCTTTGGGGGGCGACTCTTCGGGCTCTTAGGCCGTCTTAACCGAACACCCCAGATAATTTATCATACCCCTCCCTCCTCCCTGACAGCTTATAATCCCCGGCAAATGCAGGTTTGATCGGAGGAAAGGAGTGGGAAGGTGGGACTTCTTTATCGCGGGGGGAAGTTGCGAATCGAAGTTGTCATCTCCTTTTGCTCACGATCAATATCATCAAACACGTGTGGCTGGGATTATCACCATCTCAGTTTTCGCAAGGTGCGAATGTGTGGCAGGGTTTTGGGACTCTCACCATTTCGGCTTCCCCGGATCACGAACGTGTGGCAGGGCCATCGCGTTCTCACCACTGCAGTTTTCCCAAGTCACGAACGTGGGTCTCTTGGCCGGGGTGCCAGTTAAGTCAGAAGTTATCATGCTAATTTGAGTTACGTCAGGAGTTATCATGCTGGCTCGGGAACGAATGCTCTCCCGAGGATGTCAGTTCGGCTTGACGCCGATTCGGTGTCGGCCCGTTCGGCGTGGGTCTGTCCCCGGTTCGGTTCGTCTCCTGTTTCCACGCGGTTCGGCCCCGCAGGTTCGGTCCAGTTCGGCGGGCGGTCTGGTTCGATGCGGCCGGCCAATCCGGTTCGGCGCCGCTGGTGACGCCAGGCTCCCCGCGCGCGCGAGCGACGGCCCAGTTTGGACAACGAGGAGGAGGGGGGGAGGAGGAGGAGAAGGAGGAGGAATAGGAGGAGGAGGAGGAGGAGGAGGAGGAGGCGGAGGAGGAGGGGGGGGAGGGGGAAGCAAAGGACGAGGAGGAGGAGGCGGACGAAGAGGGAGAAGAGGAGGGGGGGGGGCAAAGGGGAAGGGGTGAGGGGCGAGGTCCCTTCCCTGCGAGGTTCGGCCCCCGCGGGTTCGGGGGCCGCGGCTGGATCGGCCCGCGGTTTCCCCTGCCTTCTTCTCCTGAGAATGCTGCCGCCGCCGACGACGATGACGACGACGACGAACGGGTGGGGGGTCGCCATGGCGGCCCCGAACGGGGCCCCGAAGGTCCCGCCGAAGGAAAATCGCCATGGGGGGTGGCCGCCGCGGGGGGGGGTCGCCACGGGGGGGGGGGGGGGGCGCGACGGGGGAGGTCGCGACAAGGGGGGAGGTCGCGACGAGGGGGGAGGTCGCGACGAGGGGGGGGGGGGGCGCGACGGGGGGGTCGCCGCGGGGGGGGGTCGCCGCGGGGGGGGGCGGCGACCCCCCCCGCGCGGCAGATTTTTTGTGGTCGAACGGCGACTGTAAGGGGCCGGCCTTTTCAGGAGGCGCATGGCTTCCGAGAGCGCCGCCGCCTTCTGAAAAGGCCAACCCTCGTCTGCGGCCGCCCCCCGGGCGCGTTGCCGATCCTGCAGGGCGTATCCATGCGCGCGTGGACGTTCGGCACGTTGTGGGTCCCCACCCAGCTGGACCTTGCAGACCCTCGGCGCACCGTGGGGCCGGGAAGAGGATTCTCAGGATGAAGATGAGGATCAGGAGGCGGGGGGGGGGCGGGGGAGGAGGAGGAGGAGGAGGAGGAAGAAGAAGAGGAGGAGGGGGGAGGAGGAGGAGGAGGAGGAGGAGAAAAATGATGAGGAGGAGGAGGGCGGGGACAAGCAGGGAAAGGAGGAGGAGAAGGAGGAGGAGGACGAGGAGGACGACGAGGGTCAGGATGAGGACGAGGACGAGGACGAGGACGAGGAGGAGGAGGAGGAGGAGGAGGAGGAAGAGGAGGAGGAGGAAAAGGAGGAGGAGGAGGAGGGGAGGGATACCAAAAATACCAGGACGACGACGCCGACGCCGATGACGACGCCAGACGAGCCGCGGCAGCAGGTCTGGGACTGCACCGAGGCGGTGCTGCTGCAGCCGCGAGTCGCGGCGGAGATTATTTTCCCTCTATTGTTGGGCGTGCTGGATATTGTTGGGGGGTTATTTCTCCCAGGAAATAATGCCCCCTGGTCTACCTTGCGCGACAAAGCAATTTGAGCACGTTTGTAAGAATAGTGCAACACAGATCCTGCACATTATTCGCCGAGGGTTTTGTTCACAGTCTTTCTGAGGATGAATCTTGTTGGGATGGAGTGTTTGAGGGCCTTCGTGGGGCCTGGGCTTCAACAGTCCTTATTCGGATTGCGCTCCACAAGATAACGTTCCAGAGGGTCAGGCTTCCCAGCTAAGATTTTCGGTGAGAGCGCCCCCGGAGCATAGGTAATAATAGTCGTTGTTTTCGTAGCCGCAATCAAGTATAGCTGTCGGCGTCGGTGTTGCGCGGTGGGCGCTGCGGGAATTCATACTTAGTTATTCCCTGTTGGTCGGGCCACAGTACGTGAAGAAGGCCGACGAAACAAGAACTCGACTGTGGGGGCCTAAGGACTTACTGCGGTTTCCGACTCCGTTTTCGTAGGGCGCCCCCGTGAACGTTTAGTGTCAGCCGTTTTCTTGGTGCCAGACAAAAACGTCCTGCGGACATCGTGTCGCTTGGGGGTTCGGGCGTGGATTGGTTGCCGCTTCCTGGGCCACCAGGGGGAGGGCGCGGGGGGCCGTCGCGCGGGCCCAAATCGACTTTGTCTGGGCGGCGTGCCGGGGGGGAAGGGATACAGTGGGCACCCGTGCGAAGAAACACCCTGCCTGCCTCCAGGTGCGGTTCCGATGGTTTCGTTGTGGAAAGCATGAGTTTGCCACGCCAGGGGAACAAACATAAATCCTGGCGTCTTAGTCTTGGTTTTCTTGCGGAAGGTCTCTTGTGGTGGAGCTTCTACTGTAAGGAGCGGCCCTGCTCAGACGGCGCATTGCTTCTGATAGCGCCCCCGCCGTCTGAGGAAACCAGCCCTCGTCGGCCGTTTCTCCTGGGGCGGCGCGCCGCCGATCCCAGGGCAGATCCAAGCAGACGTAGACGTGCCGGCACGTTGTGCGCCCCCCCCCCCATTTGGACCTTGCAGAGTCTCGGCGCACGGTCGGTGTTATTTCGCATGCGGGGATGCCGTTCGAGGCTGAAGTGGGGCAGGCGGAAGGAGGAGGCGACAAAAAACAAAAGAGGAGGAGGAGGAGGGAACGGGGAGGAGGTTTCTGAGGAAAGGCATCGGGTTCAGGAAGAGGAGGAAAAGGAGGAGGAGGAGGAGGAAAGGGAGGAGGAGGTGGAGGAGGAGTAGGAGGAGGAGGCGGAAGAGGAGGAGGAGGAGGAGGAGGAGTAGGAGGAGGAGGAGGAGGAGGAAGAGGAGGAGGAGGAGGAGGAGGCCGTTGACGGGCAGGAGCAGGCAGAGGAGGAGGGGCCACCAGGACCGCGAGGACGACGACGGCGCCGACGCCGATGACAACGCCCGACGCGCCGCGGCAGCAGGTCTGGGACTGCACCGAGGCGGTGCTGCTGCAACCGCACGCGGAGCACAAGGCCAACGCCTCGCTGCCTCGTTCTCCTTCCTGGTCCTCGGGGGGGAGGAGGAGGAGGAGGAGGAGGAGGAGGAGGAGGAGGAGGAGGAGGAGGGAGGAGGAGGAGGAGGAGGAGGAGGAGGAAAAGGAGAAGGAGCAGGAGGAGGAGGAGGCGGAGGCGGAGGCGGAGGAGAAGGAGGAAGGGGATGATGAGGAGGAGGAGGAGGAGGAGGAGGAGGAGGAGGAGGAAGAGCAGGTGGAGGAGGCGGAGGAGGAGGAGGAGGAGGAAGAAAAGGAGGAGGAACTGGAGGAATTGGAGGAGGAGGAGGAGGAAGAGGAGGAGGAAGAGGAGGAGGACGATACGATGTCACTACCATTTGCTTTTTTTGTTGTGTACCGTTTTTTGCCACCAATCCACCTGTAAGCGGACATGCCCGACCCGGCGCCAGCGCCGACGTTCACGGCCCAGCGAGAGCGGGTGGTTTCGGACGGGGAATGTGGCGTATCCAGGGCCGCCGGTGGGTCATCAGGGTGCCATTTGTTTCGGAGGCCCTTTCAGACAGTGTACGTTTTGCCTCCTTAGAGCCTCTTGGGGCCTACACGCGGCGCGCGGGGTCCCCGTTGCATAAGAGGGGCCGCGACACGCTGTCCAGAAAGGGAAGGGCTGGGCACACCAGCCTCCATCACAGAGTGCCCCATTGACCCCCCCAAACCCAGCGTTTTCCTGACACTCGGTATCCTCACCCTCGGCGTCCTCCGCCTCTTCGGCATCCGGCCCCACCCCAGCAACAACAACAGCAGTAATTAGGCGGTTAGCAGGAGGGAGGGGGTGAGGGGGACAAGGGTGGGGCCTCGGAGTTGCGGTGTGCATCAGCACGGGGCTCAGCCGAGAAAGTATCCCCCAACGAGCCGAAATCCAACAGCTTGATGGCATCCAGGCTTTGGTGTTCCTGGAAGTACCCAGTGCCAACGCGTAGGAATCTGGGGACCGAACTTGTCAGCCCCTGACGCAAAAGTTCAGGCGGCCCTCTAGAACAACTGTGTCATGCTCAGACGCCGCTCCGTAGTTGGTTCCCAGCTTGTCACAGTGAGTTTGTGTTGTGTTGGCTGTGCTGTTGGTGTTTTTCAAGCTCGAATTGCGAGGGACCCCTGTCCGGACTTGGACGATGTTGCAGTGACTCTCCACATTTTTGAACGAGCGAGTCGTCAAGTCCTCTCTCGCATGTGTTCACTGCCACATGTGGTCTCGGGGATTGGCCACCGAGAATTCCGTGTGCTGACCTGATTTGTTCAGCAGTTCATGGTCGTTGTTGTGTCAGGCGAGAGCAGTAAGACCATCAAACAGATGCCCAGCCAAACCAGCATCGCATAGTCATTTTTTAGCAGAGAAGGAATCCGAGACACGAGGATGACCCGCCTCTGTTTTGGTTTCCAGAAGCACGCGCTCTGGGAAATAAGACGCGCACGACCAACCGGAGGAACGCAACGTGGGGAACCCAGCGTTCAGCCCCGACCCGTCCGCGACAACGGATCCATCATCGAGGGAGAGAAGAATGTCGACCCCTGTCCGGCGCAGCGCCCACTGGTTGTCAACATGAGGCCGAGATGCGCACATGTTTCAAACGATGTGAGCCAAAGTTCCAGATTGGTTCAAGATTGGGTCGAGGCCAAGGTCAAGGACAACAAACTGACCGACAGGCATGTTTTTTTTCGTCAGTGCATTTGCAAGACCAATACACTGACAAGTAGCCATTTCGTTTGGAGCTGGCGCCACGCCCGTCGATTTTGGAGGCCCTGTCATCCGTGTTCGATGAGAAGTTCGAGACGCATCTGGCCCCGATGCGCGAAGGGGTCAAGTACGCCAAGGAAGTGGCCGAAGTTTGCGACAGGCCCACCTCTATTCTAGAGGAGGCATTTCATCTCCGCTTTCGTCGAGGCCCGGGGCGCTTGCGATTTCATGGGCCGAGAGGGTTCAGGAACGAACGAGCCAATATCTGAGGATATTGCCCGCCGTCTTGAGGTTGCGCCCCCCGTGGGTTTCACACGGGGCGCGGAAGACGTCGAGGGCAGGGCGCCCCAAGGTGCCCGGGTTGAACGTGCACATCGCGCTCCCCTGCGCCACGGAGATCGCGCGTCTGTTCAGGGGCGCCCTGAAGGGCGGGGGCAAGTTTGAGCGCGGCGGGGGCGACTTTGGATCTGCAGCCCAGAAATCGCCCGAGTAACAACGCCGCGTCGAGGCTGGCGGAAGGCCAGGGCATTCTCGGAGAGCGCGGCGAAGGATCCGGGACTGGCCAGCACGGCCCTCCACTCGCGGCCGCCCGTCTTTCAGCTCGCCGCGGAGACGGCCGTGCAGCTCACGGGGGAGGCGGGCGAGAATGGGGGGATAAGTGGAGCCCGGGCGCCCCCGGCGGAACTCCGCGCTCGCGCCTGACATTTGCGTTGCGGAGTTGCGGGCCTTCTCCTCTGCGCGGGCCCCGACCCCCATGAGCGGCCGCGTCTGCGCCGCCGTCTCTCGGGGCGCCCGCAGGAGAGGGGTCTCAGCTCAGCGGTCCCGAGGCCGCTGACGGCATGGAAGGGAACATTACCAATTGCATGTTTGAGAGGCACTGTGGGTGCCGCTGCGTCCGCGCGCCAGAACATAGCCAAACACATCATTCATGACGGTTTGTGTGGCACCATAACACCTCAATGTTCGTGTCGGGGAACCACTACACAATGGAACAATAGTGCTTTGCCGAATCTACAAAACATGCACAACTGGTTCGCACATGCATGGAACATTCATGTTTTATTTTTGATTTCACAGGTTCGACCGACAATGACTTCTAGGGCAAATCAGTTCTGTAGCCGGTTCCCGATTCGAATTGTCATGGTCCCTTTTTGACCTCGAGGGGCCCGCTGATGCACCACCAAACGACGGCCCGCCTCGGGGCCCTGCACACACATCAAAACGCACGCAACGGAACTTTGGGGAAGCTCGAGTGGGCCGCTGCGGCCCGCAGCATATTATGTGATGCTTCACAATAGTATGTCTTCCGACTTTAGTTTGGTTGTGCGTGCCAAGTGAGAGGCCATTGTGAAGCCAGGCGCTGTGTCGGCGGAGGGATGATGAATCAGATGATGATGCTGATGCTGATGATGGTGATGGTGATGGTGATGGTGATGTTGATGGTGATGGTGATGATGCTGATGCTGATGCTGATGCTGATGCTGATGCTGATGATGATGATGATGTTGATGATGATGATGATGATGATAATGATGATAATGATGATGATGATGATGATGATGATGATGATGATGATGATGATGATGATGATGATGATGATGATGATGATGATGATGATGATGATGATGGTGGCGGTGACGCTGATCGTGATGGTGATGGTGAGGACGAGGAGGGGGAATAGGAGGAGAGGAGGAAGAGGAAGGGGAGGAGGGGTGGGAGAGGGAGGCGGAGGAGGAGGAGGAGGAGGAGGGGAGGAGGAGGAGGAGGAGGAGCAAGAGGAAGAGGAGGAGGACGAGGAGGAGGAGGAGGAGGAGGAGGAGGAGGAGAAGGAGAAACAAATTGAGGAAGAGGGAGGGGGTGGAGGGTGAGGAGGACGGCGACGGGGGGCGATGAGGAGAGACATTGACGAGGCGGGATGAGGGAGGTGGGAATGGATGGGGGGTTCGATGGAGTTCTGAAGCACGTGTTTTGACAGCGGAGGCCCGCTTCGGGCCCTCAGGCCGTCAGAATTATGTTCATGACTGACAGCCGATCAGGAGGGCCGCATGCTTCCGTGTTGCTCCAGCATCCGGCTCTTCTAAAGAGAGGCTTTCGAATTTCGGAGCCTGTTCGTTTGGAAGGTTTTCTTGTTGTCTCGTGCTCGTCACCACGGCTGGATCGGCCGCCATGTTTTTGTACGCATCTTTGGAGTGGTCTGGGGACCGATTTTCGATTGGAAGAGCGGGAGCAGGATGAGGCGGAGAAGAAGTAAAGGGGTGGCTCGAGGAGTCTGGAAGAGGAGGAGGATTCGGATAGAGTCGGATCTGATCTGGTGTCCGCGAAAGCCTCCGGCAGCGGTCAGTGCCAGCTCATTGCCAGAGGAGTGCGAGGCCTGACTGCGGCTTGCACTGTCAGGCGGAGGAGGAGGATCGAAGATCGCGGATCGAGGGGCAGACGTGGGCGAGAGGGAGTAGGTGCCCTGCCCCCCTCTCCCCTCGACGTTTCTGCATCTTTGTCCTCCCTGCTCCCTCCTACCTGCCGTTCACCTCTCTCACTCCTCCCTCCATCTCCACCCTCCTCCCTCCTATTCCGCCCTTCCCCCGGTCTCCCACCTCACTCCTCCCTCTCGCGCCACTGCCCCCTCCTCATCCTCTTTCTTTTTCTCCTCACCTGTCCTCCTCCTCCTCCCCCTCCTCCACCTCGATCAAACCTGTCCCCCCCCCTCGCTGGAGGAGGAGGAGAGGCAAGAAAGAGAACCCCTCCGCCCCTCTTTACTCCCATCCTCTCTCTCCCAACCCGTGTTCCTCTTGGTTCATACATCCATCCCCACCCCCTTCCTGTTCAGTCCTTGCCGCCCCTTTGTTCCTGATAACCCTTTTGGAAACTCCAGCATTCGAAAGCTTCTACGAGTCCCCCAACGACCCAACAATTCTCCAATGCCCCCCTGTCCGTTCTCAGTCTCGACTCCCTCCGCCTCCCACATCTTCCCCCCCCCCCCGATGCACCACGAAGCCATGGCCTCGCCCATGCCCCCTTTTCCTCCATCCTCCTGCCCCTCGTCCTCTCCATCTCCTTCCATCTCCATCCTCCCTCCTCTCTTCTCCTTCCCCCCCATTCCCAATCATCTTTCCAATGGCCTCCCTTCCTTCCTCCCTCTTCCATGTCGTCATCCCTTCTCCTCCCCCTTCCTTGTCTCCCTCATCTTCTTTCTATCTCCAGTATCCCTCCTCTTTTCTCCTCCCCCACCGCAAACCTCCTGGGAGGCCTCTTTGGGTAGACAAATAACCCCAGCCTGTCCTTACCCGACAGGGCCCCACATCCTGCAAGGGCACTTCTTTCCTCCGTCCCCCCCAAATTCCTCCCTCTCTCCTGGGCGCCTGCTCAAACCCCTCGTCTCGTCCCTGATGCTCCCCCCATCTTCGTCATCCACCCTCATCCTCCCTTGTCATCATCCTCTTCCTTCCTGCCCTATTTCTTCCTCATCCCCCTGCCCTGCCTCCGAGCTGGTGGAGTAGGGATGAGCCAGGAGGACGAGGAGGAGGAGGAGGAGGAGGAGGAGGAGGAGGAGGAGGAGGAGTAGGACCGTCCCCCCACGCCCATCTTCCATCTTGCTTCCTCCCTCCTCCATACACCTCCCCATCCCCCCTCCCTGTTGAGCCCTCAGACCTTCCAGCAACCTGTTCACGGTCTGTCTCGTCCTTCTTGCACTTGCAAGATGGACCCCCTCATCCTGCACCCCTCGCCCTCCTCCCCTTCCATCCTCCTCCCTACCTCCCTGAATCCTGTCCTGCTGCTCCTAGTCCTTTCTCATGCCTCCTCTCCCGCCTGCTTCCTCAAAATCGCCGCCCCCCCTTGCATTTCCCCGACTCCTCCTCGTCCTCCTCCTCCTCCTCCTCCTCCTCCTCCTCCTCCTCCTCCTCCTCCTCCTCCTATTCAGTTCTGGATCTCGAGGCGAATCTGGCTGTGGCGACGAGGAGCCCCCCCGAAGCCGCGGAGAGAGGAGGGCGAGTTCGCGGAGCCGGAAGCGTCTGGAGGGCGGAAGACCTGCAGGAGCCTCGAGCGGCGCCAGCAACGCTCAACGTGTTTATGACAAGCTGGATCCTGTGTTCTCGATTCTCGACCCATCCTCCCGAACCTCGCTCGTCAAGCGTCAGGCCCTGGCCCCGCCGGGGGAGTGGCAGGACCGCGCCGACAGCCAGGCGAGCCGACCCCCAGCAGTCCCTCCTCGGTCCCTCGTCATTTCCTGCTCCCTCGCTCCTGCAACTCTTCGTCGTCCTGTTCCCCCTCTCTCCTCGTCCTGCTCATCCCTCCCCATCCCTCCTTCTCCCCCTCCATTACATCCTCCTGCCCTGCCCCCAACCCTCCGTTCTCATCCTCTTCCTTCCTCTCTCCCCTCCCTGCCTTCCCCGGGGAGGGAGGGAGCCCAGGAAGGGAGGGAGGGAGGAGGGCGAGGGGTGAGGGGGAGGGAGAGGGAGACAAGAAGATGGAGGGAAGAGGGGGGTGGAAGGCTTCTCGCCCCCTTCTCCTGTCCGCTTTCCCCCTTCTCCTCTCCGCTTTCCCCTTTCCCCCCCTTCTTCCCCTCCAGCGGATCATCGCACACCACGTCTTTCAGCAGCACGCCTGCGACCAGTGCCACGGCTCTTAGCAACGAGACGGGGTCGAGTGCAACGATGTTGGGCAGCATGACGGTGCCGAGCATCACCAGGTTTTGCAACAGCACGTCCGTCACCGGCACCTCGCCACTGAGCGGCGCGGGGGGTGGAGCACCACAGCGTCGAACAGTAGGACGGATGCCAGCAACAACACCCTCATGTCCACAAGTGTGACGATCAGCGCAAGCAGGTCCATGGCCAGCCCACCAGGAGTCGTGCACGTGGGCACCAGCAGCCTTACACTCACGACTACGATGAGCAGTGCTACGAGCAGCACGTCCACCACCAGCACCTGCGCGTCCAGCACCCGGACACAGTGCAGCACGACGGCGCCGAGCACCACCACGACGAGCGGTGCATGGAACACCTCCCCGGCTAACAACACATCTGTCACTGGCGCCTCGACGCCGAGAAATACGGCGGAGCTGAGCACCACGACGCTGCGCAGTACAATGGGATTCTGCACCACTAGCCTCACATAGCATCTCGCCTTCGACAAGGACGACCGGAACCGCCTTGCACAGTGCAATGCGACTGAGCTGAGCACCACGGTGTCGAGTAGTTCGACTAGACCAGCACCAGCAACTCCCCATCTACGATAAGGATAAGCAGTACATCGAGCACCGTGCCTTTGAGCAGTACGTCCAGGACCAGCTCCGGGTCGCAGAGCAGCGCTATGTCGGATGGGGCTAGGACGAGGATCAATTCGCTCTCAGAGCGTTCGTTCCGGAAGGCACTTGAGAAGGCCGCGGTGCCAGAGACATCCTTAAGATCCGCCCGATCTCATATATTCTCGATCGATCCTTACCAGGTTTTATATCCGCCCGGGCTTCGTCTTTTACGGAGTCAAGCACCATCACGACGTACATAACCACAGGATGCTGCACGGGGAACCTCGTGCCCACGAGCGAGACCAGCACTGCTTCGAGCTCGAGCACCACATCTTTCATGAGCACGCCGGTGACCAGCACCTCGAGACTGAGCAGAGCGACGGAGCTGAGGTCCACGACGCTGGCGCATCAAAGCGGGATTCAGCACCAGCAGCCTCACATCTACGAGTGAGAAGAGCAGTGCAACGAACATCACGCCTTCGAACGGCACGTCCAGGACCATAGTGGCACCGTGTGTCGCGACGACACCGACCATTACGATGTCGGGCAAAACGGGATGCAGCCTCAACAGCCTTGCACCTACGAGTGGGATAAGTTGTGCATCGAACACGTTTTTCAGCAGCACGTCTGCGACCAGTACCTCGACAGTGAGCAACGCGACGCAGTCGAGTACCACGACGTTGTGCAGTACGACGGGATCCAGCACCGTTGCGTCCACCAGCGCCTCGGCGCAGCAGCGCCGGGCGGTGGAGTTCCGCAGCGCCGAACAGTACGATGAGAGCCAGCATCAACGCCTTCACTGCGAGCTTGACGAGCAGTGCAACGCGGTCCATGGCCCGCCCACCAGTGCTCGCGGAACGTATCTCATCCCCTGCCGTCCCTCCCTGGTCCCCCCCCCCGCCGCCCAAATGTCACGAGGCGGCTACGCCTCGGCAGGTGGCCGATCACCAGGTCCCCGCCCCAGACGCGTCCGTCCGCTTGGATTGAAGTTCATCAGGCCCGATCGTTGCTTTGGGGGCTCTCCCTGGGCAAGGCACCAGGCGTGTCTCGAGGCCCATCGGTAGCAATAGGGGAACGAAGAATGACTTACACAGAAAAACTCGGAGGTCCGCGCGGATTTCTCGGATCCGCGCTGGACCCCTATGGCGCCGCTTCCGGCGGCGCCCCTGGCGCCCTGGCGCGCTCCGCGCGCCAGGGAGGGGTGTCCAGCGCCGACTCGAAAAATCTGCGCGGACCTCCGAGGTTTTACGTTATGTCATTCTTCGTCCCCCTATTGAAATCAGTGTGAACCTCTCCATGTTCTGAGTGCGCTGCGTGAGCTGCTGGAAACCTGTGCCGTGGCCCTAGCACTGGGCCGCTGGAACCTCTGTGCGGTCTCCCCAATTCCCCTCCCCTCTTTCTCCCTCCCCAACAGGCCCTCCTCCCCTCTCTCCTCCCCTCTCCCTCTCCCTCCCCCTCTCCCTCCCCCCTCTCCCTCCTCCCCTCTCCCCTCCCCTCTCCCTTCCCCTCTCCCTCTCTCTCCCCTTTCCCCTCTCCCCTCCCCTCTCCCTTTCCCCTCCCCTCCCCTCTCCCTTCCCCTCTCCCTTCCCCTCTCCCCATCGACAGGCCCTGGCCCCGCCGGGGGAGTGGCAGGAGCCCCGCGCACGGCGCAGCGAGGGGAGAGAGAGAGAGAGAGAGAGAGACCAGCGCGTCGTCGGCGCCGCTGCTCCTTGCCGGGGGCGTCGAGGGGGAGGACTCTGTGTGGTCCTTCATGGCAGTCTCAGTGAGTCCCACAATTCTTCACGGTCTCTGGGGTTCGTCGGGCGTGATCGGCATTCGGACGACATTGAAACAACAGTTGGACGAAATCTGGACGTCGGGTTTGGACGCAATCCGGTCGAGATCATGTTGATGATGGGGCCGCGGAGGTTCACAGAGGCTCCCACGGAGGCTTACCCAGGGGACTTGGGGAGGGCGCCGAGTGAGGACGTTGTTTCGCTGTCGCAGGCCCGGGAACTCTTTTCTGCCCGCGGGGACCTGTCTCAGCTCCTTCGATCAGGATCGGGAAACTACCCATTCGCGCCCCCAGGCTCGCCCAGGGAGCCCTCAGATCCGGACGCTGGTGCCTGCGTAGGTATTGTTCCTTCCGAGAACGTTTTCGAAGGGGGGGGTCCGGAGGACACTTCTTCGTTGGCTCCCATTGCGTTTTCTCGTTCGGCATGCCTTCCAGCAGTGGCGCTTCGCCGAGAGCTTCCAGGGGGTGCCCCAGTCCGGGTCGTGGACGGAAAACAGACAAGGGGCCGAAAGGGGGGGGAGTGAGGACGAGGGGCGCGTGGATATCCTGGCCACGGCTCTGAAATCTCCGAGGCGTTGTGGCCCTCCCTTCATTCGGGTTGACCCAAAAGGGGTTCAGCGACAAGGGGGTGGTGCAAAGAAATGGTGCAATAGAATTGTGGGGTTGCAAGACACTGTGGGCGTGCAATACACTCCCGGGCGGAGATGTATTGCCGGATTTTCGCGTGCAATCCATTCGTCGCAATACAAGACAATACCATTCTCCAGCGCAATACATTTGCAACATAATTGCCCCAAATCTATTGCACCACCCCCTTTTAGCTGGACCCCGTTTTGGGTCGACCCGAATCCTGGTAAGGCCCCTCCTTGACCCAGGATCGGTGCATCTGCCTTCCTGGCCCAGGTAGGAGGGCGTATGCACCGATCCTGGGCTCAGGATGGGCCTGGCCAGAATCGGTGTATGTGCATAGTTAGGTTTCCGCTAAATGCGTCCCTCGACCCTCTCTCCTCGTCGCCTCGCGTGCCTCGGGCCGTGGTGCCTGGGTGCCACGGCGCAGGGGACTGCGGGCAGGGGGTGGGAGGAGGAGCAGGGGGAGGAGGAACAGGGGGAGGAGGGAGGAGGAGCAGGGGGGGAAGGAGGGAGGAGGAGCAGGGGGAGAAGGGGGGGAAGGGGGAGGAGCAGAGGCAGGGGGGGAGAAGGAGGAGGGAGGAGCAGGGAGAGGAGGTATCGAGCGCGGAGACGCGATACGATCAGGTCATGTAACAGCATGCGGTCAATTCATGTACACATCATGCGGCCAGATGTATGATTCGTGTTGGCAGCAGCGTGTTGACACCACTATCCTCCTCCTCTTCATCCTTCTCGTGGGCAGGTAGGTCATCCTCATCGTCCTCATGGGCAGGCCCCCGTCCCCGTCATCATCCGTTCGCCTCACTCTTCCCTGTGGTATTTTATTTCGCATATCTCGCGCGACAAGGTGGCCGCGGCCTCATCTGTTTGGTTTCTGCTGTGGTCGTTTGGTTTTCCCTTCGCCTCCTCCTCCCGGGCGCGGACTGTACTCCCCCTGTGCGATCTGTATACCCTGGTCTTGTTCCAGCCGGTGCACTTCCCCACCGTCCCTGAAGCGGGACAGTTCCCCCAAGAGCAACACGCAAACGGCGGCCGTTCCTAGGGACGGGATGCGCCGTCCAGCGCCTCATCATCCTCCTCATCCTGCTCCTTTGTAGCCATTTTGGCTCAGGCGTCCATCTTGACTCGAGCGCGACGCTCGCGTACTGTACGTAACAGTGCACAGCCGTCCTCTGCCGTCGCGGCCATGGGGCGCTTTGCCGCGGCCGCCGCGGCTCTGGCCGCCGCCCGGCCCGCCGCCCTGGGGCTGCAGGTCCGCGACGACGCCGAGGCCACCCACCCGAACGTGGCGGTGTGCATGACCACCATCCCGAGCCACCTCACCACCGCGAAGGGCTTCGGCGCCCTGGAGGAGAGCCTGCGGTCCGTGCTGCTCGAGCAGGACTACCCCGGCAGGATCACCGGGTACCTGGCCGTGCCCAGCAGGGCCTCCGTCCGCGAGGGGACGGGGTACCCGGAGAAGGAGGCGCAGGAGCTGATGAGGCTGATGAAAGGGAGGCTGGTGATCGTGCCCATCGAGCACGACGTCGGACCCGCGTCTCGCTACCTCGGGTGCGCCAAGATGGTCTCCAATCCGGACGACCTGATCGTGGCGTTCGACGACGACATCTCCTACGAGAACTCTACGATATCGAGCCTCGAGTGCGCGAAGCGTCACGACCCAGAGTTCTCGTGGACGGGCCACCGTTTCATGGGGCTGCGCGGCTTCCAGACTGGTCAAGGCGCTGACGGTTTCATGATGCACGCCAGCGACCTCAACGGTTTCGAAGAGTTCATTGAGTCCGTTCACAAGCCCTGCTTCAAGGTCGACGATCTCGCCGTGTCGGAGTGGCTGACCAACTACAAGAAAAAACCCGTGAAGGCCCTCGAGGAAAAGCAGCAGAACGTTGACGCCTGCGGACTGGTGAAGATGCCCATCTACAAGTCGAACTGCTGGATGGCCCCCGACAAGCGCCAGAAGAGCGGTGAGCGCCGCATCTGCCGCCCAGTCATCCAGAGCGTCAACTCCTTGCGGAACGACCACGCGTCCGGCGGTCGTGGGGAAGACATGAAGGTGTGCACTGACGCCCTGGCCGCCAGGTGCTCCGCCACCGACAAGTCAGATTGCGCGAGCAGGTGAGTGGGGCAGGCGCAGTCGCCCCCCGGAGCCATCCGCCGCGCGCTCCGCGCGATCTTCCTAGCATGTGCTTCCCCCGTTTTCTAGCAGCAGTTCCCGCCCAGTTCATCGACGTGCGCTGCAACCGGCTGGCTTAGCAGACAAAGAAGTGTCTTGCTCATCCTGCTCCTCGGCTTCCCCTCCTGCTCATCCTGCCCCTCGTCCCCCTGCTTCCCGGCGCGTGGGGGTGGGGAGGAGGGGGCAGCAGCACCAGGAGCGGCAGCACCAGCGGTGCGTATCAGGAGGGCGAGAAGGCGAGGCAATGGAGAGGATGATGGGGGGGAACATGAAGAAAAGTGAGGAATGGGGGAAGTGGGGGGGTGAAGGGGTGCAGGAGGGGGAAGAGGACGAGGGGAGGAAGGGATGAGGGAGGAAGGGGGATGAGAGGAAACGGAGCAGGACGACGAGGACAAGGATGATAATGAGAAGGAGGAGGAGGAGGACGAGGAGGAGGAGGAGGAGGAGGAAGACGAGGAGGAGGAGGACGAGGGAGGAGGACGAGGGGGAGGAGGAGGAGGAGGAGGAGGAGGACGAGGAGGAGGAGGAGGAGAAGGTGGAGGGGAGGAGGAGGAGGAGGAAGAGGAGGAGAAGAAGAAGAAGAAGGTGAACGTACTCAACAGTAACATATTACCCCGAATGTCCGAGCAACGGCAAACAAAGAAGAGGAGGAGGAGGAGGAGGAGTTGGAGGAGGAAGATGTTCAGGACGACGAGGACGAGGACGAAGGGGAAGAGGAGGAGGAGGAGGAGGAGGAGGAGGAGGAGGGGAGGAGGAGGAGGCGGTCGTGCTCCTCCCCGTGGTCCCTCCCTCCCAAAGCCGCTGCCGCTGCTGCCGCTCTGGCTCCGACGAGCTCAGGCGTCCCTCGTCCATCCACGGCAGAGTCGAGTCGGCCGGGTTTCCTACAGTGGAAACCGATACCAAGAAATACCTTGCTTGCCTCCAAGGTGCCCTGGGCTTCTTGGGTTCCGATGATTTTGCTATGGAAAGCGTGACGTTCCCACACCACGAATTAATTGATGTCCTGGGGTCTCAGGGTTGGGTTGCGTGTGGAAGAGTTATTGTGGTCGAGCTCCTGCTGTATTCGAGGTTCGAATCGAACAGTGGTGATTATTCCTGGCTTGCCTATAGGTCCACCAAAGGATGTTCTGAGAAAGCATGTGTGTTCTGCACGAAGTACTATCATAACATGTGTGGCTGATATTGTCTTGTTTAATACATCGGGTTGATGGTATGAGAACTTCGTTATGTTTTTTGTTTTCCCTACCTAGGCTCTGCCTAGAAGGGTTCTTACTCGGTCTGCTTAAAAGGGCCTGGCAGTGGGGCACGCCCCAGGCGGTTCCCCGGGCATCCGCCCCGCGGTTCCCCCAGTGACGTTCCCTTAGCTTCGCGTTGCTTATCTCCTCTTAGCTTAGCTAATTCATCTTAGCTTAGCTTCATCCTAGCTCAGGTTTATCTTAGCTTAGCTTACCTTCATCTTAGCGTCGCCGAGCTTTAGCATAGCAGAGCACTGCATAGCATAGCAGAGCGTAGCACAGCACAGCACAGCGCAGCATATCATAGCAAATCCCAACATAGCAAAGCATAGCATAGCACAGCACATCATAATATATAATATCATTTCATAGCCTAGCACATCATATCATAGCATAGTGCAGCTTAGCATAGCATAGCATAGCATATCACAGCTTAGCATAACACAGCACAGCATGACATATCATAACATATCATATCATAGCATAGCACAGCGCATCATGGCATAGCATAGCATAACATAGCATATCATAGCATAGCATACCATACCATAGCGCAACATAACATAACACATCATATAATAGCATAGTGCAGCATATCGTGACATGGCATAGCATAACATAGCATAGCGTAGCATAGGAACCAATGCTGTTTTTTCTAGGGGCTCCAATTTCTAGGTAGGGTCGTACTGGGGTAATTAGCGCATTTTGGTCCACCAAATAATGGTATGAACACGTATTTGTGTTCTGCGCGAAGTGCACGATGTGCTATTTAACATGTGTGGCTGAGACTGTCTTGTTTTAACACATCGGGCTCGTGCTATGAGCACCTTCCTTGTGTTGGTTCTTGGAACATCTTGCCCTACACCTTGGGCGATGCTTAAGAAAACCTAAGTTTTCGGGCAGAATCTCGATTATTCTTGACGTTTCAATGCAAATCTTAAGATTTGAATGGAAATGTTGGGTTATGTATTCAAGTTCTGAGAGTATGAATTTCTTAACCCATGATTTCTAAAGCATTTCGCAGGGTGTAGAGCATCCCGTGGTGGGCCCCTTAGGACTCCCGGGACGCGGGGCCCCTGCTCAAGCGAAGAGCCAGCATCCAGGTCTGCGGAGCTCTGCTCGCCCTTCTTGGGGACCCCTGGGAGACCCCCCGTCGCCACGGCCCGGCGCACCTCTGGAGAGGCCCAGGGGCAATTTATTCAGGAGGGGAAGAAACACACAGACACAATTAATCGTCGATCCCCAGGAAAATATGGGAAAATATGGGAAGAGGGGGGGGAGACAAAAACCCAGAAAATATGGGAAAATATGGGGAATATTTTTATTTGTGTGTATTTATTTGTGTGTCCTGGGGCCCCTTCATTCATGTCTCTGTCCCCCGAACCCGGACCTCCGTCGTCCATGTCAAGCGGGCCTGTTCTTCCTCGGCTCGGGCCTCCGGGGGTGCATCTCAGGCCTGTCCCTCTACAGGGGGGATTTTCAGAGATAGTCAAAAAATAGTATGGGGACGATGTGCTGACCACTTTTTTTTGGTTTTAAACAAAAAAAACATGATTTTTCGCCCAAGATCCCCCTGTAGGGGGACGCCCGATTTAAGCCTCGGGGCCGCCAACAGAAGGACATCTCGTGTGGAAGGGCGCTCCAGGAAAGTGGCCGACGGGTCCCGAGGGCGAGGGGCCGACGCCACGAACGATCTGTGGCGCCAGAGCTATGGGGGAACCAGCCGGCGGCAGCGAGTTCCGGCGGCGAGATCTCGGCCGGAAGGGTTCGGCCGCCCTCCGCGAGGGCCACCCCGCAGAGGGACCCGGGACTGCTCCTCGTATCTTTCCTTTCTTCCTTCTTCCTTCTCGCGCACCTTGAAGCTCAGCTACACGGTGAAGCCCGATAGTACCAGAGTCTCCGCGGTGGCTAGTTGCGGTCATGTTCGCGTCGTGACCCCGTAGCGGTAATGCCGGCGCGGGAGTTCAATTTTAAACGCCCGCGGTGGCCCGGAATCGGTCGACATCGAGCGATCTTCGATATCGGCAGGACGCGATTGCGCAAGGGTGGGAGATTCGTTTGGAGTCAGAGACCCAAAGTGCAAGTCGTCACGGCACGAACTTGACGCAGGCAGTGGAAGTTCATCGCCAATAGTCGTGCTAGCATTCATGTTGGAGCGCTAGTCCGAACTCCAGAGCTCCAGAGCTCGTTATTCCCCCCTCGCCCCCCACAGTCGCCCTCCTTTCCTCCTCCTCCTCCTCCTCCTCCTGCTCCCCCTCATTCTCCTCATCCTTCTCCTCCTCCCCCTTGCTTCGCGAGTCGGGCCTAATCATTGGCGACCCGCGCGCCACAGAAGGCTGCGCCCCCGAGCGCCCCTGCAACTCCTTCCGACACGCTGCACGCGGCGCCTCGCTGCCCAGTCACCGAGAGGGAACGGATACTCAGATCCAAACGTCGGGAAACGACATCACCACGGCCATCTGTGACACACCGATGGAGGGGGAGGAGGAGGAGGAGGAGTTTTTTTTTTCCAGTGCGCCGCTGCCAGCCAACCTCCAGAGTGCAAAAGATGCAGGGGTTGCCTGGCAGGGAAAAGGGACTACGCCAACCAGCTCGAGGAGGTCTTAGACGGCGGGAGGCCCTTGCAAACCCGCTGCAAAACCTCGAGCTGGTGTTTAGTGATGGCGTGCGGTCCAAGTGCGGCCACGGGACAGGGCTCCCGCAAAGAGTCAGGGCGAGCTACTGCCCACGAGCCGCATTCACCGCAAAACGTGAAAACATCCTTATGCCACAGAACGTGCGACGGGTGGACTGCCTTGCCCGCGACCCAGGGGGCAACGCGCAGGGGGGGCGGGTCGAGCCTCAGGCGACGCCAAAGGGCATCTTCCCTGGCGGCCAGGGCCCGACCTGGCCTCGCCCACTTCTTAACAGTAACCTCCTCCGCCACCACCGACTCCGAACCCCCAACTCCACCTCCTCCACACGCAGAGCAAGCCGAGCGGAGCCTCGCACGGAGCGAGGGGGCAGCATCGGAGATCGAAGGCTTGCACATCCCACAAGTCCAAACGCCAGAAACGAACTCCCAAACGTGCGACGAACCCCTCACATCGGCTTCGATCCACCGTCTCCTGCGGAGCACAAGATCAATGGGCTGCTTGCGCAGCCTGCGCTCAGGCTCGGCCTTGAGGGCGGCACACTCGAGAATGATAGAGGCGTTGCGCTTGAGGATGGCGCAAGCATTGCCGACTAGCTCATTATAAGCCTGGACAACTCCTTTCGGAACCTGGCATTCCCGAGCCCGCAATTCAGCAAGCTCATCTGCGACAGAGTTGAGCACTACCTGGTCCCAGTCTACAGAGTCAACAAAACGGGCGAGCTTTTGTGGATCCTCCAACAGGTGGCTAGGAACATGGAAAAGCTGGAAATCCCCAGGTCGCTCCGCCAGGAGCTGCCAGAATTCCCACCAGAGATCAAAATTCGCCAGCCTCGCAGAGGCAGCACGGCCAGCCAGGAAACCTTTCTGACAATATTGGCATGGTCGGTGGCCACGCGCAGAGCCTGGGCAGGGTCAACGAAACGAAGGCACTCCACAATGGCCGCAAGCTCTGCGCGGGGAACCGTCTGTCGAACCGAGTCGAGTACACCAGTGACTCCACAATCCCATTCAAAATCTTCGCTAGGGCGGAGCCGCACAAAGACAAAGGCAACTCGCCGGAGGACAGGAGACTTGGCAAACTGCCCTCCCGTGCCATCGGTGGCATATAGGCCTCCTGGCAGACAGCCAGGAAGCAAGGCCCCGGGACAACGCCGCCCCTGGAGGTCCCTGGACACAGGCACGGGAGGGAGGTTGAACCAGGAGAGGGGAATAAGGCCAC